TATTTGGTATTTGTCTCTTTGGTCAGAAATTATTTGATTCGAAGCAATGTGATAAATTGGACAATACTTATTTTATTTCTGTCAGAATAGTAAGAAAAATGAAGACGTATGTTTTTTATTTATGATTTTTTTCTTTTGGATGTAAAGGTAAATTATAGGCATTGGATTTGTTCGGAAATCATAAAGATCTACAGTTGACGACGGAGCAAATCAAGAAGATTGTAGAGATGTTAAAGAAAGAGGAACAGGTGGAGGCAATGAAAGCCTTTCTCGCAGGTACTGTGCCGTATCCTCCTCAACCCATTGCTGCCTCTAGTACTAATCAGCCACTGCATCCTGTAAAAGTTAGTAAAGGAAATATGACTAGTAGTAGTAAGTCATCTGAGCAATCAGAAGTAACTAATTTGACATCAGGTATCGGGAACAAAAAGTAAGGCTGTTATCTTCTGTAACCAAGTCATTTTATTTTGTATGTAAAACAAGAAAAGTACATTTTCGAGATTTTTATCATTCATGCGTGCAGTTAATCGAAGTGTTGGTGACTCGTCATGCTGTAACATAACAAGTATCTATCATTTTCTTCAGATTTTCACTTAAATTTTCATACACTATCTGCTATTCCATGAATTTTTTTAGATCATCACAGTGGTTTTATTCCTTGAGAACTGCTTATTGTGTTGAATTTTCCAAAATTCAAAATCCCGGATCATAATATTTAAATTTAAATAGAATGTCACAGTCTTATAAGGAAAGTAAGATTACCTACGTTTTTATATTTGAGATGGTATAAAATTACCTCAACTCTTTAATTATGTTATGTGAAGCAATAGTCCACACTCGAACTAGATGGTTTGTGATGTCTTTCTGAAAATGATTTCAGATTCAACTTCAATCCTTTCACAATCTCAATTTTATTGTGAACATAGTTTTTGCAGTGTTGAGTTTATTTCTGAATGTTTTGTATCACTTTCCCACTATTTTGCGTTTTTACACAGGTGATATCTTGCAACCAATCTTTTCTACGGTGTTGATTTTATTTGTTTAATGGATATCAGCATAGTGCATGGAGGAATAATCTGTCATTTCTTTTTTCTATTTTGGTAAAGAAAAAGAAAGTTTTTCTCAACAGAAAATATAACGCTCACTTTTCGTGCATGTTTGTAATTGTCTCAAATACTTCTCTAGTGATATACATCTTCAACTTGAACACAAAAGCAAGTCAAGAAAAGTGATTAAATTTATCGACAAAAAAGTGCTCATTAGTTTATGTGTCTTTTCACTGCAACTGTTAAGAGTAACGGATTTACGTGAAAGTTTAAGCAGACATTTTGAATATATAGTTAATGAAAGATCGTTTTTTTTTTTCATGAAAGAGATTCACAATGCAGGCCAGCAGCATTCGTCCATAATTTTTGAAAATACAAGCTATGTAATTTTAAGATTCAGGCAATGAAGTATTTACATTAACGTTTCTTCCAATAATATTTTTATATTTGGTTGTATGCAGTGGTTCTTTTCATCATTTGCAAATAATACCCTGAAAATTTGTGCTAGTTAAAATATTGTAACTGAAGTAATGAGGTATCGAGTATACACAACAGTTCTGATGCTTATGCTTTCCTTTAATGGTTTGCAGATAAATTAGATCAGTAGTTCCTAGGAGTAATACAGGGAATGTCAGATATGCAGAGAAGGTAAAAGATTTCTTAGTGTAACCTTCTGGATTGGACTTCATGGTGAGCGCTTCTGTAATCACCATTCCTTTTGTTCTTGTTTGTGAAGAGCATTTTGTGGATTAGCTCATCTTTGTCAGCTAATTGCTAAAAGTTAGTAATTTCATGTTATTAGGAGAATTATACTGCAACGTACAGTACAGCATTGTCGTCGAATAGTACTCACAGTGATTCTCATTTTTTTGTTTTCCACAAGACAGTGGTCTTATATAGTTGTTTTCATACTTGCATTGCATTGTGTTGATATATATAGACTAATTCACATATATATTAGCATGTAGATTAAGCTTTGGTATTCATTTCAGTAGAAGGCCGTTTCTTTAGCCATCAACTTGGATAAAGACGTAATGATGATTGACATTAGTCTTTCAGATTCATCTCGTAACAAAAAAGTTTCGAATTGATGAATAGAGAGAAGGAGCTATTTGATGCAAAACATTGTAACGACTTAGTTTGCTTTGATAATATTTTGAGTTTTGGATTGATTATTTCTTCGAGATTAATTTTAATTGTAAAGTTATATAACTTTATTATTGTACTAAAGTAATGTATAAAACTGGTCTCTCCGAATATATAGAATAAGAATAAGTAGTGGTATTAATTTTAGTGAATATTTTTCATGTTTAGTTTCAAATATGTTTTTCAATTCCAGTTCTTAGAACACTTCTAGGTCAATAACTTATAATTTAGATTACCCTTTTACTGCCATATTTATGAGAATAATAAGCTAAACATGTAGTAAGTTGCAATGTGTTCTGCTTACTGTCAGTGTCATGATATGTTTGTTAAGCTCAGCAATTTGTGGTCTTAAATAGTTAGGCTATTGTTCATGCCCTGCTTTATTCTGTATATAATTATACTTACATTTTTGAAATATTTTTTTACTTTTTCTATAAGTTATGACGTAAATACACAGAGTAAATTCAAAAGAGTACCATTTTGCAACTGCATGTCCATTCAAGAAGACGGAACTGCTCCAAATTATCATTGCTATGAGGAATCAATTTTCATTATAATTGAAGTAAGCTTCTAAACTCTTCAGTAAGTCAACTAGGCTTTGCAAAATAATAGTCACAAAATAATTAGAAACAAACTAGGAACTTCATCAGATGTTCCTGAACTGAATGTGACCTTGTTTGATTCCATTACACATTTAGTTCGTTGAGTTTTAAGTAGAAAAAAAATAAGATAAAGATCACGATATTACGATAAAAATATTATTGGCAATCAGATTTGAATTAAATTTACTTACGCGAACTCTTTAAGTAATGTGTGAAGCTTGAAGAGTAAAACAACTATCGTGGCTCAACTATACTCTTGACCATTTGAAAAATGAAAGACATTTGTAAAAATAAGAAACATACAGAAAATCCTTGGGACTTCATGAAGTAATGGTTTAGAATGCAGAAAAAAATTACGACCTAAATTTATATTTCTTCTCATAAATAAAATTTCTACAAAAATTTGTGAAAAGAAGAAACACTTATTAATGGTGCCAGTTCACAACCTAGTAGGCTAGCTAGCACGTTTCTCAATACTTTTTAAACGTTCTTGATACTAAGCAGTTCACGTTTTCCACGCCTTGTTGGATTATTTCCCTTTTCTTGTCAAAGAACTCGCGTGCCTATCCTACAATCCACTTTCTCATGATAACTTTGAAGCTTAATTATGCAAATTTTAAAATTATGCAAATTTTGAACAGCAATTTCACTAGCATTTCGGTGAAAGATTTTGTTGATGAAGGACACAATTTTTGCAAATAATATTAAGATTAATTCTATTTATATTTAAGAATGGGTTATATTTTTATCTCCTATTTGGAGTTAGTCAGAAAAGATTCAGCTCATGTTTTGTTAAGTCAAATTAATTCAAAATATTATTATACACAATTACGCAAGAAAATATCGAACAAAATAACATTTTTGCTGAAAGTGTCGATAATATATTCTAATGTATGGACATAAGTTTTGAATTTGATCTCGTAAATCATCAGTCTCTGCTGAACCGAATTGATCTGAAAAATTTATCAAACAAATCTTAACGACATTATTATCGTAGAAGTAATTTGTTCAGAACAGTATCCAGAGTACATTTATTGTGATCCAGAAAATAACTTGATTTAGTGATAAAGATTTTGATGATTTCTGGCGTTTAATTCAATTCTCTGCATTATTTTATGTTTTATACATTATGCAAATTATTTTTATAGACAAAAAAAGTACGTACAAAAAATATGTCATCACACACAGATTTATAATTGCGCACATCCAGCTATAAAGGTTAAAAGTTCATTGTTTTATGACCAAAATTTTAATATTATTTCTTGCAGATATAATAAAGAATGCTTTTACTTATAGCTAATGATTAGTGATGTTAAAGCAAGCTTTAATATTCCTTCGAAATTTTAATTTTTATTATTTTTTTTGCAATAATTTGTTCTGGTAATAAAACTTTGATTTTATCACTCTCAAAATTTTATTAAATTGTTTTGTCAAAAGTATTAGTACAGAATCAATGAAAATAATAAAAGTATTTTATAAATATAATTACGACTATTACTGTATTTTTCAGAGTAGCAGTGCTAACTTCTACTCTCAGCAAATAACCATAATTAATCTTTTTAAAACTAACTTAATCGCCTCTATAATTTCTTGATTCTAATTTCAATCACTTAACTTTTCAGTGCGAATAAATAGTATTAGTATATTGTTGTTAATCTAAAGTCTGAATATTCTAAGATTTTCTGTTGTATCAACTTAATATAATATGCATGCTTTATCATCAACATTGTCAGTGCTATTGATATTTTATCAAAATGATATAATAAAAGTAATTTATTGTAATTATTATCACTACTTTTAATTATTATCTATTCCATTATTTGTCTTTTGATGCATCAATTAATTTAAATTGCTTCAGAATTTCAAACTGCATCTAGCATAGAAAATGAAAATTGAGCGAATGATGGAACGAAGAAAATTATATGAAGCATATGTATCTGAACAACGGAAGTGTCAAATTTTAAAGCTTGCTTCTAATTAAGAGAATTCAATAGAAAGGCAAGAGATGATAAAACTATAAAAATTGAGTAAACTTATTATTAACGCTAGAAGCATTCAAAAATGGCCTCAACGACTACTGTGTCAAGTTTATTACTGATTTTTCTCGCCGTTGTTACTGTACAAGTTATGCCCGAAGTTCAAAGCAGTGATTTTGACTACACATCCATTTTACAAGTAAGAATTGAGGAATAAAATTTTAATAAATAATTTTTTATTATTTTTAAGTAATTAATCATAGCAAATCAGTCAATCAATTAATCAGAGAAAATGTAATCACACTAATAGATCAGTGATTATTCACTAAAAGTCATAAATTAGTTATGATATGATCAGAATATAAGTGAAAATAATGAAGGTCAAGAGATCATCCAAAAGTGGCGCTGAACTTGATCAAGTGAAAAATTTGCTTTTAAATTCAGAATGAAGCTGAAAAGCACTCTAGTAATGCTGGTCGTATTGGATTCCGACCTAGAAAACGAGACTTTATCAACAAAAGTTTTGCACCGTTCATGGAAAATGCAATGGGTAGGATAATGGTTGACCTATTCACTAACCCATTCTCTTTTGGAAGTTTTAATTCAAAAATTCAAGTTTATAGCTTTAATTTTTTGAGCTTTTTGCATTTTTTTTTTCGAATTTTACGTAGTAAACTTTACAAAAGTAGTAATTTAAGTAGTAAACTTTACAAAAGGATCAGTGATTATTCAATAAGAGTTATGAACTGAAACTTTTTGCAATGATTTGCTTTTTGTTAAATTATTGCTTGCATATTACAGTACATTACGTATTATAAATATGCAAGCAGTAATTTAGCAAAATATTAGATTCTTGATCAAATTAGAATTGAGATTCTAAAGCAAAAATTTAGATTCTTGATCAAATTAGAATACGTAATGTACAGAGAAATTAGAATTTGACTCATTTATCATAACTTAAATTTTAATTAATATCATCCAAATGCAAAGATGATAACGAGGTAGAATGGATATTACTAATGAAATTATGATATGATTTGTAATTGGATGCCATCAAAGTATGTTTTATGATTCATTTCAGTTTTAAACTATGAAATTAATTTGAAGAATTTACGAAAAAAGTAGATCAAACCTCACAAACAGTATGTTTTATGATATTTAAACCAATACTGAATTACTATCTACAGACAAGGTTACTATTGATTCAGGAATGAGAAGAATATTATTAAATAAGTATAAATTAAGGCCTAAACTGTCGATCATCACCAAATCAACAGTTATTTGAAAGTTAAGATCAAAATTGCTAAAGTAATGAAATTTTTGTATTTTTCAGCTCGCGAAATTCGTTCCTTGGCTTTAGGGCGGCCGAATTTTCGTCCTGCCAAAAGATCGTCGTATACTTTGAATGAGTTCGATAGTTGGCTTGCTGAACAGATACCAAGCAATGCTAATCCAACTCCAGAAAATATTAAAAAATAAAAAATCAGTGCAATGGTTTTGAAGGTAGAACCGAATAAAATTATGCTGTCATTCAGTTCAATTTAATTAAGCATAAAGTTTTGGATAAGTAATACAGGAATTATTCACATTATTTATTGAATTTTTAGAAACCACTCGAGTAATTTTTTTTGACCGACAAAAATGATGATTTAAGCATTGAAGTATCACTTATAATACTATTACAATCTCATATTAACTTTCTTACAATAAGGCTTGAAAAATAAATTCAGAAATAAATAACATTTTTAAAATTTGAATTTCTGTAATATTTACATTGACAATTTAATTTTGCAGAAATTTGACAATTCATGTATTTGATGGCTAGCTCATTTGTAAGCGAATGCTATAATAATGTTGCAAATAGTATAAAATCATAATATGATGTGATATGATTTGCAGTATTTGATGTTACTCTAGTGTTGACTGTTGACAAAAGTAATAAAGAAATATCTCCATTTTCTTTAATACATATCTGATAAGACTAATCTAGAAAAGTGAAATCTATCTTGCAGTTAGCATTACATTCTAAACAAACTTACGTGACACGTCATCTTTAAGCATTACACTAAACATTTGAAATATTACTACTTTACTGAAAATAGTGCTATTTTTCAATAGCAAATTTTAATAGTGTAATTAACACTAATTACACTAATTACGAGTGTTAATTACACTATTAAAATTTGTATATATATATTTAGTTGCACAATCATATATAAAACCAAATTATATTTTAATAATAAGTTTCCATTTTTTGAATTTTAATTCAGCTAATAAATAGTAACTTTTGCGAATTCATTATCGAAAAATTGCAGAAAATAAACTAAATTAGACAACTAAGAATCCATATGATTAGATGAAGAAGGAGATCCGTGTGAAATATGCCATTTGTTTTCATTCGTATTTAATCAAATTAAATCAAATTTGTCTGAGTTAAACAGTACTGTAATTTAAAACTGTACTCATAATCATTTAATGATAAAAATTTGCAACCATCGAAATCATTATTGAAAAAGTTTGTATAAATATTAAATGGTTCTTTTATTAACTCAAAATATTAACTTCATTTAACAAGCGAAACTTAAATTTGTAAGACAATCTCTGCTGCAAAACTTTTCAAAAGTAAAACAATCAAATGCGATATCTGAAATAGAATTACAATCTATTTTTGAAGACTCCATTTCTGAGTAAAGGACTCCATCTTTTTTCGAATACTTTTATTAATAATCTTTTCGCTACTTAATAACGACAATTTATTACCTTTCAGTGATCAATCGTAA